ATACACACTGGGAGAGGCCTTCTCAGTGTAACAGTGCTCAAGCATCCAGGGGCAGCTTCACCCTTACTAAGGACAAGAGAATTCACACCAGAGACAAAAGCTCTGAGTGTGAGAAGAGCGGGAAAATCTCAAAAGAGCTCAAACCGGAACACCAGAGAGTTCACACTAGAGAGAAGCCCTTTGAATGTAGTGAATGTGGGAAGGATTTCAGAGTGAAGTCAGTCCTTATTCAACATCAGAGAATTCATACTGGAGGGAGGCCCTATGAATGTAAGAAATGAGGGAAAGCCTTCAGGGGCAATTGAGATCTTATGAAACACCTGAGACTTCTCACCAAAGAGTAAATCTCTGAAAATAGCATGTGAGAAAACTTCTATAAGTCTTGTCAAATCTGATATATGTGCCCCCTGACACCACAGCCTATACCTTAGTGGTGCTTTAATTGATGTTTGCCGGCTGGTATTGATGAAGGGATGTATTTAGTGAGAACTAACTTCTTCTTGGCCACTTGGATCTTTCCCCAGGATAGAATCTTTCAGAGCTGAATAAGTAATCTCAGTCAGAGGCTTTTCAGAGGAAACTGGAAGCCAGAAGAGTGCTTGATTAATGATGAATTGAATTGAATTTTGCTTCCTATAGGAATCTTTCTGGATTTGGGTGGACCACCCTGGGCCTTTTTGGCTCAAAATTCAGATTGTCTGAGCTGGAAGGGAACCCAGAGATCATTGGATTCATCACTCTCATTTTACTGAGGAGGACACTGAGAAAGCCCAGAGAGGAAGGGCAGAGTTAGGATAGAGACTGAACCTCAAGGCCAATGACTTGCCCACTGACATGGATGGGTACATTTCATATGTGTTGTCTATGGGAAGAACCTGGGATTCTAGAACCCCAGAGCTGGAGGGAGCTGGAGGAGCTCAGAGAAGGAGGACCTTCTCTAGGTGACCAAGCACAACCCCCTCATTTTACAGATGAAGACACAGAGGGGCAGAGATGATCCCACAGCAAGGAGGTGTCCAAGGCCTATTCACACCCTCATTTTCCTGACTTCAAGTCCAGGCCTTTGTCTACTGTTCTTGCCTCTCAGCTCGGTGAAAGGGACTTACGAAAATGACCTGCATTGGAGTTACTCCCACCGTGATTGTGAATAAATGAGATCTCAGTGGCCATGGAGTCTAACCCATTCCAGAAGGGAATTCCCTCTGTGCATACGTGGTGGTCATCCAGTCCCTACCAGGAGATCTCTAGTGGGGCAGCCACCACCTCCCCAGGCAGCCTATTCCACTGTGGGATGGCTTTAACAGGAAGTGTTTCTTGAAATGAAGCCAAAATCTGCCTTTCCATAATATCCTCCCCGTACTCCTGCCAGTTCTGCCCTCTGGAGCCAAACAATACTAGCTGGTCCCTCCTCATAGACAGCATCCCTGCCACATCCCCAGGTTCTCTCTTCTCCAGGCTAAGTAAGCGTGCCAAGTTGCTCCACTGATCGTGGTCTTAGGCCCTGAGCTCTCCTGGCTGACTTTTTCTAGCTCATTGATATCCTTCCTGAAATATGCCAACAAATAAGGTCTGAGGATGGCAGAGCACAGTGGGATTATCATCTCCCTCTGTTCCCAGAAGCACAGGGCCTTTCCATGCTTGTCCTCCACCAACTCCTCCAGCTCTTTCTTCAGACATACTTCTGCCAGGCCATTCCTTTGCATCTTATGTTTGGTTTTTAATATTTATTTTATTGATTTTTTTGTTACATTTTGAGTTCTGAGTTGTCTCCCTCCCTCCCGACCCGCATTAGAGAAGGCCAACATTTGACACAGATCCATATGTGGAACCATGCAATACATGGTTCATAGATCAGCTCTCTCTCTGGAGGTGGACAGCATCTTCCTCCATGAGTCCTTTGTAATTTATTTGAATACTCATTTACTCAGAATAGCTCAGATATTCAGTTACTCTTCAAACAATATTGCAGTTTCTGTAGAGAGCATTCTCTTGGTTCTGCTCATTTCACTCTGAATTATTTTGTGCAAATCTTTCCATGTTTTTCTAAGATCATTGAGCTCATTATTTCTTATAGCACGATACTATTCCATTACATTCATATTACCACAACTTGTCCAGCCATTCCCCAATTGATGGGCATCCCTGTAATTTCCAGTTCTTTGCCACCACAAAGAGAGCTGCTGTAAACATATAGGTTCTTTTCCTTTTTCCTTGATCACCTTGGGAAACGGATCAAAGGATATTATGCACAGTTTTGTAACTTTGGGCATAATTCAAGATTGCTGTCCAAAATGGTTGGATCAGTTCACAGTTCCACTGACAATGTATTAGTATCCCCATTTTTCCATATCCCCTCCAACATTTGTCATTTTTCCCTTCTACCATTTTAGCCAACCTGATAGGTGTGAGTTGTTGTTTTAATTTGCATTTCTCTAATCAATAATGATCTAGAGCATTTTTATATGACTATATATGGCTTTGATTTTTTTTCTTCCAAAAACTGCCCGTGCATATCCCTTAACCATTTATCAGTTGGGGAATGATTCATATTCTTATAAATTTGACTCAGTTCTCTATATATTTGAGATATAAGGCCTTTATTTGAGAAATGGTCTATAAATAACTCCCCCTCCCCTCATTTTTTGCTTTCCTTCTAATCTTGGCTACATTGATTTTATTTATACAAAACCTTCTTAATTTAATGTAATCAAAATTATCCATTTTACATCTACCTATGCTCTCTATTTCATGTTTATCCATTTATCCATAAATCTGATTGGTAATGTGCCCCATGCTTCTCTAATTTATGTCTAGATCATGTACCCATTTTAATCTTATCTTAGTAAAGATATCTTGGTAAAGATATTGGTCTATATCCAATTTCTGCCAGACTGTTTTCCAGTTTTCCCAACAATTTTTGTAACCAAATAGTGAGTTCTTATCCCAGAAGCTTAAATCTTTACATTTATAAAACATAAGGTTACTATAATCATTTACTACTGTGTATTGTACACCTATTCTATTCCACTGATCACCATTTTATTTCTTAGCCAATACCAGATAGCTTTGAGAATTACTGCCTTATAATACAGTTTAAGATCTGGTAGTGCTAAACCTCCTTCGTTTACATTTTTTCACTAATTCCTTTGTTATTCTTGGCCTTTTGTTCTTCCAGATGAATTTTGTTATTTTTTCTAGCTCAATAAAATAATTTTTTGACAGTTTAAATCGGGATGGCACTGAATAAGTAGATTAGATAGAACTGTCATTTTTTATTATATTGGCTCGGCCCACCCATGAACAGTCTTTCTCTAGTTATTTAAATTTGACTTTATTTGTATAAAAAGTGTTTTATAATTATGTTCATATAGTTCCTGGTTTTGTCTTGGCAGGTAGACTCCTAAGTATTTTATATTGTCTATGGTTATTTTAAATAATGTGTCTTATTTTAAATAATACGTTTTACTATCTCTTCTTGCAGGGCATTGTTGCTGTTATATAGAAATGCTGATGTTTTAGGTGGATTTATTTTATATCCTGCTACTTTGCTAAAATTATTGGTTGTTTCTACCAATTTTTTAGTTAAATCTCTAGGATTTTCCAACTATACCATCATGTCATCTGCAAAAAGGGATAGTTTTATTTCCTCATTGGCCATTCTGATTCCTTCAATTCCTTTTTCTTCTCTTACTGTTATTGCTTGCATTTCTAGTACAATACTGAATAATATTGGTGATAATGGGCAGCCTTGTTTCACTCCTGATATTACTGGGAAGGCTTCTAGCTTACCCCCATTTCATGTAATGCTTGCTGATGGCTTTAGGTAGATGCTTCTTATCATTTTAAGGAAAAATCCATTTATACCTATGCTTTCCAGTGTTTTTAGGAATGAGTGTTGTATTTTGCCTTTTCTGCCTCTATTGATATAATCATGTGATTTTTTTGCTTTTG